GCCGGCCAGTGCCCGTCCTCGTGACGCAGCTGTGCGGGACCACGGCCCAGCGGAGCCGAGCCTGCGACACAGACCACAGGGCCCGCCGGCCCCGGGGGCTGTCGGCCTCTGGAGAATCCAGCGTCCGAGCCCCCGTGGGCCTGCGCGGCCGGAGCAGGGCCGAGCCCCTCCGTCGTGGGAACGCGCCGACACACGATTCGGAACACATGCAGTGAGGAGCCGATGTGCCCCACCCTTTGCTCCCGGAAGGGGGTCCCTCGTCTCCCGCTGCTGTGGGGGGCCTCAGGCGCAGGCTCGCTCCGGGCTGCAGAGCCGGCCTCCTCCAAGCGGAGACCAGAAGCCGGGAGCGAGGGCCTCACTCTTCGACCTGCCTTCCCGCCGCGTGCTCCCGGGCCCGGGCGTCTCGCGGTCCGGGAGACCCTACTCGAGGGCTCCGCACCGTGATGGACAGGCCAGCAGTGTCCCAGGCCAGCCCGGTTCCTGGGGGTGGCAGCTCCAGAGCAGAGCTTCGGGGAGCGAAGGGGGCCACGCCCTCCTGGCTGCCATTCCTTGGTCCGCCCCTAGCTCGTCCCCATTGGCCCCACCCTGGGCCCCCTGAAGCACACAGATACGCAATGCCCTGTGGCCCCAGCCAAGGCGAGAACTGAGTGCGCCCAGGTCGCTGTCCACATCCACAAACTCTGGGGTCAAACCAGCTCCGTAGCCTGGCCACGAGGCCGGCCCCAGGCTGTGCGGTGCCCATGGGAGCCCGTGCCTGCTACGTTCTCTTGGTCGACAAGCTATGGGCTGACCGGCGGTTCACCAAACTTCCCAGACCGAACAAGGAGCCGTTGGCCTTGTCAGTGGACAGAAGCGCTGCTCTGGCCTGCCCTCGCCCCAACTGAATACTCGTGGGTCCTGACCCGTGACAGAAGCAAGGTCAAACACCCTCCAGCACGGCTGGGCACGTCCAAGGCCGCCGACAGCACAGAGGTGCCCACGGGTGTCAGGCCAGAATCAAGCCATGTGGGCATCGCCTGGAGTGTGGGCGGCGCCTCAGGGAACGGGCGCCTGCACTGGGCAGGGCTTCACGCCCCAAGCCCAGGCCTGCGTGGCGCCCGGCGCAGTGGGCACCTCCTCCGGCCACCCGCCCGCGTCCGACAGGCCGGGCTCGGCGCTGCAGAGGGGCTCTGGGCAGAGGGTCGGCCGCAGGGCGCAGGCTCTCCAGGCCACTCCTGCCCGTGTGCCGCGAGGCCCAGGTGGGCCCCCTCCTCATGCCCCCCTCATGCCCCCCTCCTGCAGCGGCGCTGGCCGTGGCCCGGCTGGCAGGGGGAGCGACCCAGGTCCCTGGCATCGAGGAGTGAAGGGCCAGGGTTTCCGAAGTCAGGCAGCCAGCAGGCAGCACTAGGGAAGTGCCAGGAACTAGGGCCACAGACGAGGGTCGCCCGCAGACGCAGGGTTAGAGGCCACCTTTCCCAAGTCACCGGCACGTGTCAGAGGAGCCACCGAGCTCAGCAGGCATGTACACGATTGGAACGCGGTTGGTACCGATGCCTCTCTGATCACATTCACCCCCACGAGGAGACACGGCCGCCGCCAGCTCCCCGATGACCTGCGTCTTGGGGCCTCGACGTGCAGATTTGGGTGGACTCAGAAATCAGACCCCGAACTCTCCTGAGATGAGAAATACTGGGATAATTCTTCAGGGGCCGAGCCGGCCGTCGGGCTGGCCGGCCTCCGCCCTGAGCGGGGCGGAGAGCGAGAGAGACGCGGACATGTGACTCCGCGTGCCGACGTCACCTCCCCTCGCAAAGTCCAGCCAGCGGGGGCTCGAAGTTTTCAACTATTATTTGCGCTTCTTGCCGTTCTGGACAGAGCGAACTTGACTGTGAGAAGAACATCCCCAGAGCCCTCCCGGCCGCTCAGCGGACCTGGTTTCCTTCCAGACGTCACGTCTCAGGATGAGGGGGCCTGGCCCTGCCGCGGCCTGGGCCACCACAGCTGCCAGCGAGAGGACAGGACGAGGGCTCTGACCATGGCAGTGGGGGAGTGGGAGCCGGACAGGGCCAGGCGCAGGCCCATCCTGGGGCAGAGGGACAGTCCTCCAGCCCAGCCCGAGCAAGCGCGAGGCCAGACCTTCCCGCCCCCTTCGAGGCCAAAGCACGAGGGTGTGGCCGAACCGGGAGGGTGGAACAGGCCGGCGACAGCCACGGTGGAGCAGGGGGCCCTGCACCCCAGGCTGGGCGGCCTGAGGGTCTGCAAGCCCCTTTAGGAGAGGGGCCTTGGCTTAGGGTCCGGGGTCAAGGTCGACGAAGCAAAACTCCCGGCACACACCCAAGAAATGTGGGGGTTTCGTGAGCTGCTATGGGCGGGGGAGGGCCTGGAGCTGCAGCTCAGAGGGCTCAGGAGACAGAACAGGGGCCCCGGGCTGCTCCCCAGCCTCCCCTGGGGCCAGGGGACCCAGAGGCGGGCAGCCCGTTTCGGGCTGGGGGAGGAGGGAGCCTTCTCCTGGTAACGAGCTAGTTCAGTAACAATGGGCTTAGCCTGACGGGTTTGAGCTTTTCTGGCGCCCGGGCTCTTGCCTGGAACCAGGGTCCTTCTTAGGTATTTGAAAAAACAGAAAATAAACTTGTAAAAAATCCCCCAAGCAATAATAAAAAAGAAAGCACCCCATCCCCAACCTTAGGGAAAAAAAAAAAGTCTTACACATCATCCCCCAGAAGAAAAGGGGGAGGGAAGATGGACTGACGCGAAACCCTTTCCTCCTTCTTTTAAAAATTGTTTTAACAGCTTCAAAAGTAATGAATTATATGCGGCTAAAAATAGAGCCGGGGGTCCTGGCTAACGGGGCCTTGCGAATCACCCAGCAGAAGGAACTGTCAATATTTTTTGAGCTGTCAGAAATCCACTTAGTGATTTTTGACAATTCAAAACATATTTCTGACTGCTTGATCCAGCTCTCGGTGAAGGAAGGAAGGAGAGAAAAAAGGAACATCGTCGATTTAAATCGTGAGCCGCGTCGGCCCCCGGGTCCTGCGTGCTCGGAAGGTCGGGGTTCAGAGGTGGAGATGTGCTCCCCCCTTCCCCCCACTTCCTTCCGCACGGGGAGCAGCTGCAGTCGCCCACACCCTGACGGGGGCTGCCATGGTCGCGTCTCTGCGACGGTACAGGGCCGGGGAGCGGTGCGCAGTCAGACACGAGGGGGCCGCGGGGTCCCCGGCCCACGGACACATGCTCGCTCCGATCCCCCGCATCGCGCCTGCTTCCCGAGGCTGGGGACGACGTGGGGTAACCGTGTTCTTCAGGGGGCGACGAGCGCCAGTCTGCTCACGAGGCCAGGCGGGCAGGGCCCGAGACCCACGGGAGCACACGCCGCCGGCCGGAGGCCTCGCCACGCAGCGTCCTGGCAGAGCGACGGACAGACAGGCCGAGACGCAGACGGACAGACAGGCCGAGACGCAGACGGACGGACGGCCGCTGTCCTCCCAGCCTGTGGGCAGTGCGCTGCGGTGTCGCAGGCTCCGCGTCCGCGTGGGGGCGTGAGCTGACAATGCTTCACGCTGCACGTCACCGCGTCTCACCCCGGGATGCCGATGAAAACGGGAGCTGTTCTCACGGCGGGACCCCCCCCCGCCCCGGGCCCCCCGGAGGAGCCCTTCACATCGTCACCACGCAGCGGCGGAGCGTCCGCTCTGCACCCGGACCCCCCAGGGACACTGACGCCTCGACCGTCTGCACCGCGCACCGCGTGGCCGGGGCCTCGTCTACGCTGGGCTCAAACCTGTTCACGAGTCAGCCCCCCCACCCCCCGTCTGTAAAGACGCACGGCTCGGCACCCGTGTTCGGGCAGTGACCTCAAGGAAGAGGGCTCTGAAACTTACCGCACAGGTCTGGCCTCTTGATACACCCCGAATTGGCCGCGCTGCTCGCGAGTCCGTTAAAGGCCGCCAAGCCATCAGAGCTGTAGGCGCGAAGGGCCGACAGCACGGTCATCGGCTTCTCCGGGCCCTGGGGCGCCCGCTCCGGCCTGGGCAGGCCCGCCGAGGGGTCCTGGGCCGGGA